CCCCCGAATCCCCCAGCTCACCGGAGCACGTTCCCTGAGCTCTTGATGATCTCCACGATCTCCCGGTGCCGGACGCCCTCCACGTTCAGCCCGTTCACCCCCGTGATCGTGTCCCCTGGAGGGGGGGGCGAGGGGGTGGGCTCAGGGTGGGGAGTCCCCACTGTCGGGGTCCCCCCTCGAGCCCCCCGGGGTGTTCTCACCAGCCTTGAGCCCCGCGGCCTCGGCCGGGCTCCCGCCATGCACGCGGCACACGAAGGTGAACATCTCCACGCTGTTCCTGTCCTGGTGGTGCAGCCCGTAGGTCTGGAACGGGTGGGGGGGCTGGTGAGGGGCATGGGGACCCCCCCCTCCAACCTCCAAGGTCTCCCCCGAGCCCAAGGGCCCCCCAGCAGCAGCCACGGGGCAGCGATTGCAGTGTTTAATTGTTTAATTGTTTAATTGCCGGTGGGTGATGAGGGGCAGCCCCCTGGCCCTGGGGAGGGGGGTCTTGCCCCGATGGGTGCACCCCAGAGGGGCCCCCCCGGGCTGCCCCCGCGGGCACGGCTGGGGGAGGTTCAGTAACACGGCAGCTCTGTCACTGCTAAAAATAACCCCTGGCTCAGAGACAACTTAAAAATACCCTCGATGCAAAGCAAGGTGCGGGCTGGCAGGGTGGGGAGCAGGGCATGGCACGGCTGGGCACGGCACAGCTCAGCTCAGCTCGGCTCGGCTCAGATCAGCTCAGCTCAGCACCCACCTGGATCTCGAAGCCAAAAGACTCCTCCGCCTTCTTCTCCAGCGTCACCACCCTCCTGGGGGACACGGGGGTCAGGGACAAGGCAGAGGCCCTGGCAACCCCCAACCCACCTGCACGGACCTTGGGCCCTTCTCAAAACGCTGCTTTGGGGACCCCCAGGACAGGACCCCCCTCCCCAGGATGGGACCCTCCCGCAAGATGGGATCCCCCCAGTCGGCCTTGGCCAGAGCCCTGCAGCCTGTGCAGCACCAGGGAGGGTCCCCACAGGGTTTGGGGATGTCAGGGCCCTCCAGGGAGTGTGACCCCATCACTGCTCTCAGGTTCCCCCACAAAATCTCCCCCATCTCCAGTTCTTCCTGGAGCAGTGTCCCAGGGCCCCCAGCCCCACCCCTGTGTCCCCCTGTGTCCCTACCTGTGCTCCTCCGGGGACTGGCTCGGGGTCACCCACCTGAACCCCGTGTCCTGTGGCAGAGGAAGAGTCATCACTGGGGGACACCCCAGGGGACATCCCCCCCCTGCCACCCCTTCCAGGGACGGCCCAAACGGGGTGTCCCACCAGGGCAGCACCAAACCCCTGGGGAACACCGTGCCAAGGTGGCACCGAACCAGCACCCGGGAGCCCCCCCAGCCCCGCGGCCCCCCCTGGCCGGGTGGGCATAACAGGGCTTTGATCGGCGCTCAAAGGCACCCTCAGAGCTGCCCTGTGCTCCCCCCACGCTTTGACGTCAACCGCGCCGCACCCACCCCACGCCGCGCTCGGGGGCGGGGGGGGACCCGGCACAGAGGGGCCCTTTTGTGGTCACAAAGTCGGGTTTTTTCATGCAAAATTCCCCCCCCCCCATTCCTCCCGGCCCGGACAATGCCGCTGTTGTGGTGGGTGCGGAGGCGTGGGCGGGCGGAGGGACAGGCCGGGCACGGCAGGACCCTCGCCGCGGGGCAGGAGGTGACAGGGCTGTCCCCAGATGCCCCTCCGAGGCCGCGGGGCTCCAGCAGCCCGGTGCGGGCGGTGGCACCGCGAGCTGCGCCTCCGGAGTGGCACGTGGCGCGTCTTGGTGGCACCGGCTCCCTCCGCGCCGCGCCACGTGGGTGCCACCAGCCCCGCAGGTGCCACCGGACGGTGGCGGGGCCGTCCCCGACCGCATTAAGTGCAAAACCACCCGGACCGGGTGCTTTTGTCACAGGGAAAGTAGCCGCCCGTCACTCCGGGCCCCACGTCACGGGAAGGTGACGTGGGATGTCCCAGACCCCTTGGGGACGTCTCCGGTGGTGGCCTTGGCCGGTGAGGGGGAGCCGGGACACCGCGCGTGACCCGGGCTGTGCCAGCGCGGCCGCGAGGCCACTTCTGCTCCGGATGTCGGCTCCGCTCTCGCTTCCCCACAAGGCTCAGGAAGCGCCGCGGGGCCGGGGGGGGAGCGTCGGGGCGGTGACGGTCCCAGTGCCACCGCAAGAGGCTTTTCCAGGGGCGTGGGGGCAGAGGGCCCCGTGTCCCACCAAAGCAGACATGGGGTACCCTGTGCCCTGTCCCCACCCATCCTCTCCAAAGCAGACCCGGGGTACCCTGTGCCCCGTCGCCCCCTGCCCTCCCCCTGCAGCAGAGCCCAGGGGGGCTGTGGGCACACGCCTGCCCCGGTGCCAGGGCCACGTACACCAGGGTGGGAGCCTGGCCCTGCGCCCCGAAAACTGCGAGGCAGGACATGGAGAGGGAGCAGGACAGGACGGGGGGCTTGGGGGGCCGCTGTGGAATAGGGAAGATACCGCAGAATAACGTGGGGAGGGACCTGGACAGGACGTGGGGCTTGGGGAGGACACTGGGGTGGGGGTACAGGGACAATACCGGGGCAGGACGTGGGGAGGATCCGGGACAGGATGTGACGCCTTGGGGGACAACACTGGAGCGGGACGGGAACACTGGGAAGATGCTGGAGCAGGACGGGCCCGAAGTGAGGAGATGCTGGGGCAGGGCAAGAGGCTCGGGCGGTCACCGGGCCAGGACCGGGACATCGGGGCGGGACGGGCACACGGAGCAAAGCTCTGGGGGCTCCCGGGGGCAGGACGGGGGGGACCTCGAGGCAGGACAAGAGCCCAAGAGAAGACGCCGGAGCAGCCCCGCGGAGCAGCGACCGCGCGGGACGGGGACACCGCGCACCCCCTTCCTGCTCTCCCCGCACCCCGGTTATCGCTTCACGGCGCCGGTCCCCGCACCGGCCCCGGTGCACAACCCCCCGAATCTCCTACCTTGCGCACGCGGGGCAGGGTCCCGCCGGCCGCCGCCAGCGCCCGGTACAGCTCGGCGGGGCCGGGGCTCTCCGGGGCCGCCGCCGCCGCCACCGCATCGTCCTTCGGCCGGAGCCGCCGCCGCCGCCGCCGCAGGGTCATGGCCGGGCCGGGCCGCCCCGAGCGCCGCTATATGGGCCCGGCGGGCGGGGACAGCGCGGGACGCGCCCGTTTCGGGGCACAACACGCCCCTTTGTGGCTTAAACCGCGCCTAGTTGTCTGTAAGCCGCGCCTTGGCACGGGAAGCCCGGCCCCGAGTCCGGCATCGCCCCCGCCCCGGGTCCTGCGTGGGGACCATGTGGGGGGGCCCGGGGGTCCAGCTTGGGGTCCTGGGCAAGGATTCCCTTGGGGTCCAGCGTGGGGGTCCGGGGGGAATGTCCTGTGCGGGGTCCAGTGTGAACGATCAGGGGGAGGGTCCTGCGTGGGGTCCTGCTCGGGGACCCCGTGGGGTTCAGCGCGGGGGTCTGGGGGTGCTGCTGTGGGACAGCAGGGAGAAGGGGGAGGTGGTGACCGGGGGGTGCAGGGTGGGACACTGCCGGGGGTGTCACGGGTGGCACCGTGGGGCGCCAAGGAGGGGCCCCAGGGATTACCTCGGGGATGATTTTGGGGAGAAACCAGTGGGTTTCTGGGCGCAGAAGCGATGCCTCCCCCCCGACAGCTGCCACTGCATCCCCCCCCCCAGGCCACCACCCGCCGCCAAAGCCGCATTTGGGATTTAACGGGAGGCAGGAGCTGGAGCAGGGGTGGCCACAGCTCCCAGCGGGGGCGGTCGGGGGGGATTTAAACCGTTCCTGCGCGATCCGTGCCCGCGCTGAGCCGGGACACGGGAGGAAAGAACAATTCCCGGAGGCAGCCGCGGTGTCTGGTGCGGACGCGTCGCTCCGGCCGCCCCTCGCTGCGCCGCGCCGGGAGGCAGCGGGAATTTTCCAGCTGGAGTTGAGAGCTTTGCCCAAATGTTTGTTTAAAATTCGCCAAAAAAAATGAAGATCGTAACAATCCCGCTGGCTTTCCACCCAAACCTCCCGCCCACAGCCCTGGCCTGGGGTTACCAGGAGGCAAAAGTTTTCTCCTGGAGCGGAGCTGCTCCGGGTTGGAAGTGCTGGGGAAAGGATGGGATTGAGCCCACCACCCCATCCCGAGGCACCAACCCCCTGGGAATGAAGAGGAACATGCCATTCTGTTCTCGAAATCTGGTAATGATTTGGCCCTCTGGCTGAAGCCATCCCAGACTGTTTCCCCATCCCATTTCCTAGAGGAGTAAAGAAAAATTTTGCTTAAAAATCCCCCATATTCTCATCCCGCTGCTGCCTCTGCTTCCAGGACGGGGCTGGATTTTCCCAGGGACCACAGCAGGAGCTGCAGACAAAGCTGGGAATGAGGAGGGACGAGCCCAGATGGCAACTCCCCCTCCCCACCGTGTCTGAGCCCGGGGGGACCCCAGGCCCCGGCGGATTTTCCCCTTGATCCGCTCACAACAGGCTCGTTTGCAGGAGGCTCCAATTAGGGAGAATTAGTGGGGGCATTTTGCACAGCACCGGTTGCCCTTGGAGCAAACAGGATTTTATAGGGACGTGGGGTGGTTTGCTCTGGGATTTATCCTTTCTGGAAGCTGGGGGTCTGTGTGGAGGCACAGGGATGCTCCAGGGGGATGCCCACTGTACCCACCACACCCCCAGGGATGTTTTGGGGGGGATGCCCACTGTACCCCCCCCCATACTCCCTCCTGCTCTGTGCCTGTCCCCAGAGAAGGAGCCCCCGAGTTCAGCTGCTCATCCCTGTGTGGGCTGGAAATCCCACCTTCCACCTGCTGGAAGCTGCATCTCCACCAAAAATGGGAATATTCAACATTAAAATGTCTTGACCAGGATTCCCAGAGAGATTATTTTACCTCTGGGGGACAAGCCCCCTCCCAGCCCCTTTTCTGGGGGCCTGAGATCTGCCCTGTGCTTCCCACCCCTCCCAGTGAACTGAGAGACTCCGACACCTCACGTGAATAAAACAAACTTTTAATAATGTACAGCAGAAATCGACAGCCTGGTTTTATATTAAACAAAAGATTTCCTATCTTACACCGTATGTACATTTGCATACTGAAGAGGTAAAGTGGCTAAGTGGCTATTTTCTTACAGTCCTTTGCTAAGAAAAAATGTACAAAACCAAACAAATCAAAGGGGCAGAGAAGTACCAAGAGTTCTGTCCTGCAGCCGCGTACCGCTGATGGACCCCCCTCCTCGTCCTGCACCGGGCTCCCCTCGGGACTGCCTGGAATGCTGCTTTTTCCCAGAGCTGCTGCAAGGCTTTGGAGCCTGGCAGAGATTCCTATGTGCTGACTTTCCTGTGTGTTCCCAGCCAGCTCGGGCGAGCGCTGGCACCCCCCGGGCACGGCTTTGCATGAAAGTGCTGTGTAAATGCTACATGGTCAGCGCTCCCGCCGCGGATCCCGCTTGGTTTTTCCCCATCTCTGTCTCTCCCAAACAAGGCTTTTCCTTTCCTAGGATGCTGCTCACAGGGGTGTCGCCCTTCCCTCGTCCCTTCTGCCTGACCCGGGCCGACCCCGCGCGCCGGGCGCTGTTTGGTTTGGCGCTGAGGCAGGTGCATGTGTGGCTACAGTTGGAAGGGGGGGGGAGTCAGTGCAAGTTCCGGAGCCCACGGAGCGTCCCTGGGAATTGGCCTGCAAGGTCACAGGGATGGGAGACCCGAGGGAGAGCCCGCAGTACCTACCAGTGGGGGACGTCCCTTCCTGCCCGGCCCGTCCTTCCCCAGCTCCCAGGGCATCCCCGGGGCCTGTGCCAGCAGCTGGAGAGTCCTCAGTGCTGGGCAGTGCCCGCCAACCCCTGGGTTTCTAAACGCAGGTTTTCAGGGAAATGGAGACTGGTGGGAACCTCTGGCTGGGACTGGGAGCCGAGATAAACTGGGATGGGACGGGGAGCTGGACCCCGATCCCGCTCCGGGAGCTCCGCGCCGCTCCAAGCTCCTCGGGGGGGATGAGCAAGGGCTCCTAACACGATGCAAAAAACCACACTCCTCACTTTACACAAGGTCACAGACAGACGGGGGAGTCGGGGGGACACACGGACAGGGACACAGACAGCAAGAACAGAGGGATTGAAATAAAGATTTAACCCCGGCAGCCGGAGCAGAGATGAAACCTCACCTTAGAGAGCAGGAGCAAGGTCAGAGTAGAAACAGTTCCAGTGTAAATCGAGCTGTGCATTTGGTTTTTTTCCTTTTTTTTTTTTTTTTTTTTGCAGTGATTTCTTTACAAACCAACAGGTCAAGAGGTAATAACTAGAGATTGTTTTTCTTCTCTTAGAAAGAATTAACAATATTCAAAAAAGTTAAAATCCAGACCCTCCCAGAAAAATAATAATAATAACAATAATAATAATAACAACAACAATAATAAAAAAAAATAATAATCAAAACCACTCCAGTTAAAAGTTATGGCTTCAGAGTTCTCTACCGCAGACACTGACCTGACCCCCACACCACGACTGCCAAGATCAGCAGGGCAGCCTCAGCCCTCACTTCCATGTTCACTGCAGACAAGTCATCCCACCTCTTCCTCACCCGGATTCAACGTTGAATGAAAAAAAATCCATGCAGGCCCCCCCCACCCCACACTTAAGACATGGCCACTTCCACATCAGGAGATATTTATACACCTATATTAAAAAGATGGACGTTGATTTCCCAACCCACACCCGCTGTCAGATCCCGCCCGGCGCCTTTGGGAGGTGCAGAGCACCCCCAGCACCCGGCATCCCGTGGATCAGACCCCAGAATTCTGCCTGGATGGTGGACTTGGGAATTGTGTTCCCAGGAGAACTGTCCCCTGCTTTCCCTGCAGGCCGGGCAGGGAAAGGGATATCAGAGCCTGCTCCATCTCTGACACATCTCAGCTCCCCCCTACCAAGAATTACAAACCCCAGGGGTTCGAGAGAAAAAAAAAACACCAAACCCCTGGATTCCAGGAGTGATTCTCAGTTCCTATTTTGTCTTAAAAAAGGGACAGGGTGGCAGTGAGGTGACCTGGCGGGGACGTTCCCCACCGGGGGAGCCGAGGATCCGCTCTGCAGCAGCCTGTCCAAGCTCCACAACGCTCACAACTCAGCACAGGAGAGAGCACCAGCAACAGCTCACAAACGGGACAACTCGAGATTTGCACATGCACAGGAAGCACGGACAGAGATGAGCCACCCCACGGGCAGACACCGGCACGGCTACGGAGGAGATGACCAGGCACAGGGACACGCGCGCCTCGCGCATGCAGACACCGGCGCCCCGACGGCCGCCGGGGCGCTCAGCTGGACTTCTTCAAGCTTAAGAGAAAAAGGAGGAAGGGGGGGAAAACGGTTTCGTGAAGCTGATCAACTGTTCCGGCTCAGCCTCTCAGAAAAGGGAGCACCATTTGTTTTCGCTTTTTTTTCCTGCATCGGCGTGCCAGTCCCCGGAAAAATCCTCAGAGCAACGGCAAGAAAAAAACCTTCCCTTTTCCCTTCCCGCTCCCGGCAACCGGGCACCCCGGGTTGGCCCCGACCCCGGCAAGGGGTGCCCAGCGCGCGCTGAACTTTACAGGGATTCCCGCTAAAGGAACAAAGAGTTACGACCATGGCTGAGATCCCTCGGGTGAAATCCCCTCTCGAGTCTCCACGCTCTCGGGAGGTGATCACAAAAGGTTTCGGATTGTTTCATACCCAAAGCAGGGAAGAGAGCGGTTCCGTAGGCTCCGTCCCCCCCCGCCTCGCAGCCTGCAGGTCCCGCTGTCTGGTTGTAGCAGTAGGTTGGGCTGAAACACGAGGTAGGCCTCCATCACATGTCTACTCTAGCACGGCAGCTCCTGTGCAGTTTCTTCCTGCTGAGGCTCAGAGCCTAAATTTTCACATCTTCCTGGACGCTGAGCTGGGAGAGGGTTTTCTTGATGCGGAGGGCGGTGAGCCGGGCGGCTCCGTTGGCGTACCAGCACTCCCGCATCATCTTGCCCATCACCCGCAGTGCCTGGGCAAGAAACAAGGAGGGATATCAGTGCTCTGCTCTCTCCCCCAGGCCCCACGTCGCTCTGCCAGGCTGCTGCTCTGCCTGGACACTGGGACACCCTCCACACCCCCCAAAATCAGAGCTCAGCTTACAGCGCTCGCTCTTTACTCACCTCATCGCGGGAGAATCATGAAATGGTTTGGGTTGGGAGGGACCTTAAAGATCATCCAGTCCCACCCCCTGCCACGGGCAGGGACACCTCCCACTAGCCCAGGTTCCTCCAAGCCCCGTCCAACCTGGCCTTGGACACTTCCAGGGATGGGGCAACCACAGCTTCTCTGGGCAACCTGTGCCAGGGCCTCCCCACCCTCCCAGGGAGGAATTCCTTCCCAATATCCCATCTAACTCCACAGTGTAAAGCCATTCCCCCTTGCCCTGGTACTCCAGGTCTTTGTAAATAGTCTCTCCCCATCTTTCCTGCAGGCTCCCTTCAGGTACTGGGAGGCCACAATTAGGTCACCCCAAAGCCTTCTCTTGGCCAGGCTGAACAATCCCAGTTCTCTCAGCCTTTCCTCATGGCAGGGGAAGGGGAGGCGAGGACGGAAGCCGACCTTACCTCGTAGCTCTGCCACCAGTTGGGGATGTTCGGCCGTAATTTCTGATCACACACGACCTTCCGCATCTCCTCGATGGAAGGATCAGAGGGCACAAGGTCGTAGTAGGGGAGCTGATACTCCTCATGGATACCTGGAAGGCAGAGCAGGGGGAAATGCAATTCCTGGAGAAGGAAATCACGGCCACAGAGCTCGCTGAAGGCAGGCGGGTTTGGGCTCCATGACTCACTGCTGAGATGCGTCAACACTTTGCACTTATTTAGAACAGAAGCGAAGAATCTGGGATTTGGGTTTACAGGAAAAATTCAGGGAAAATAAAATGCAGCTGCCCAAACTGGAACAGAGTCAGCGGGCTGGGATCAGCACCTCCCAGCACGGAGCCAGGGTCACCAGATCCCAGTGGCAGTGGGGCTGTCACACGTGGGACAGTGGGGCTGTCACACGTGGGGCGGTGCTGCAGCTGCACGTGCCAAGACATCTATACTGATCTGGGGGAAACCCCCCACCAATGGGCACCACCATGTCCTTAAAATCCATCCAAAGGAACACCAGACACCAGGGGGAGCAGCAAACCCCACGTCCCCACACTGGCCAGGAGTCGTGGGTCACCTCTGCTCCTCCCTCAGTGGCAACACACAGGGACAAGTCCTCCCGCAGCCCTGCTCTCCCTCAAACCTCCCCAACACCAAAGGGAAGCCCAAGGTTGGGAGACCCAGGAGCAAGCAGAGCCCATGGCACAGGCACACCAAGGTGTTACCTCCTGCGTTGCACCTTCGGGCAATCTCCCAGTAGACCAAGCCCAAGGCGTAGATATCGGCACATTTAAATGAATCAAAATGCTTCATGTTGATGGTTTCATCCAAGACTTCTGGGGCCATGTATCTGCAGATAGAAAGGAACAGCGTGTTCATTCAGAGAGGGAATTCTCTGGAAGATAGAAACTGATCTGTTTTTCCCACACAGCACTTCCCAGCAGACCAAACTCTGCATGGTACAGCCCACCATCAGAACAGAACTGGGCCCCGTGGTCTAACAGAGCGAAGAAAATAACTCCTGAACAACAGCAGGCTGGGAAAAGAGGTAAAAAGAGGTTTTTGTGTCCCCAAAACACATCAGGCTCCCAAGAGCAGGTTGGTCAAGCCTGTTGCCAGGTACTACGTAAGCTCTCTGGTGCTGGGTTTATGTGGTCGGCCCACCCCTCTCAGACTGAAGGCACTGACATCCCTTTGGCATCAACATGGGCACGGAGCTGTCCCTGTGAGACACTGGGAAACGCTGGACACAGAGAATTCCCCCAGTGCTCAACCAGCAGCTCAGGCATTTCCAGTCTCACTCTGATGCCTGTGACTGTGTTTCCCTACCGTTTGGTGCCGACCCTCTGATTGGGTGCGATATCAATGGTGTCCGTGACGGAGTCGTGCCGGACAGCCAGGCCCAGGTCAGCGATGGCACACGTGCCGTTCTTCTTCACCAAGATGTTCTTGGATTTCAGGTCTCTGTGAGCAATCCCGGGTTTCCCTAAGAAAGCAAAACAAAAAGCAGCGAGGGTCAAACTGGGGAAATCCATTCGTCGAACTGGCGCGGAGGCAGCGCCGGATTTCAGGGTGTTAAACCCGGTGTTGCAACACATTTTCCTGTTTGGATCCATGAGGGACCGGGGCAGGGCTGCGGTGGGAAAAGGCTCCGGTGGCGTTTCGGAGGCGCCGCTGATGCAGTGGCATCCAGAGGCCTCAAGGGGGACGTGAACTCCACGTCCCAGCACAGGCGCGGCCCTACCGACGTCAGGAGTTTGTGCTGGTGCTGCTGCCTGCGCTCACATCCCACCCAGGCAGCGCCAATTTTAGGATGGGATGTGAAATGGTGATATAACTCCCGGGAGCGAGCGCCAGGATAACCCACTTCCCAGCCAAAGCAGCCGCTCTATTTCTGGTCAGTAAGGACCAGCTGAAGCCGGGCTGACTCAGAGGCTCAGGCAGAGTTTGCTGGGCAGCACATCAGCCCCCCCTGAGCAGTTCTGCTTTAGCCTCCCCTTGAGGATTCCCAACTGGGCTCCTACCCTGAGTGCCCACGATCTCCATGTGCAGGTGGGCCAGCCCGCTGGCAGCAGACAGGGCGAGCTTGATCATGCCCTCGATGGTCACCGTGTAGCGGTTCAGGTAGTCGAAGAGGGACCCGTGCTCGTGGTAGTCGGAGACGAGCCACAGTTGAGTCCATGTCCCGTTATCTGCAGCAGGAAGGAGATGGAGCTCAGGCAGATCCCACACGGGGACCCCACACATCATGGAGCAGCCCCCACCCTTCTGGCACAGAGCAGAGCTGCTGGATAAGGCTGCACTCATCGGTCAGCCCAGGGCAAGTCAGGGATCAGAAATGGCTCCTATCAGAAAGAGCGTGGCCAGCGGGACCAGGGCAGTGACTGTCCCCTTGGGCTGGGTACTGGTGAGGCCACACCTCCAATCCTGGGGTCAGCTTTGGGCTCCTCACTCCCAGAAGAGACACTGAGGGGCTGGAGCGTGTCCAGAGATGGGAATGGAGCTGGGGAAGGGGCTGGAGAACAAGGAGAAAGATCCAGAGAACTCCTGAGGGAGCTGGGGGGGCTCAGCCTGGAGAAAAAGAAGCTCAGGGGGGACCTTCTTGCTCTCCACAACTTCCTGGTAGGAGGGGGGTGCCAGGTGGGGGTCGGGCTCTGCTCCCACGGAACAAGGCACAGGACAAGAGGAAACAGCCTTAGATTGGATATCAGGGAACATTTCTTCATGGAAAGGGGGACCAGGTACCAGAACAGGCTGCACCCTGGTGAAGCCTCTGCTCCCAGGCCCGAGGCACCTCTTACCCTTGTTATCCGCAGCAATAAACCCCAGGATGTTCTCGTGCCGCAGCATCACAGTCTGATAGATCTCTGCTTCCCTGAACCAGGAACGCTCCTCACGGGAGGAGAAGATCTTCACGGCCACGTCGCCCCCACGCCACCTGCCTCGCCACACCTCCCCGAAGCGGCCTTTGCCAATGATCTCCTGGAGGACAATCGTCCGAGCCACGGTGCGCTGGACAAACAGCGGTAAACCTGGGGGCAAGGGACGGGGCAGGAATGAATCCCTGTGGCAGCAGCAGAACCTCCTGAAAACCCAGAGGCTGGAGGACACCCTCAAACCCAGCAGGCTCCACGGCTGATAACGACCAGCAGCCTGAGCAAGGCCCCAAAGCAGGGAATGGTGGTGGCTCCTGCGTGGGCTGTGCCACTGCTCAGGCAGCATCTGCAACTCGCTTTGAAGCAAGTGCAGCAGTCAGGGAACTCCTGCTCCACGGCACATCAAAGGAATTTCAGCCTCAATATGCAAAGAATGGAACTCGTTTAAGTCAGGCTCTGCTAAAAAGCAGAAAACCCCCTGAATTTCTCTCAGGAAAGGAGTCCCAACGCCGCTGCCATTGCTTGTGGAGAGCACAGAGCTCACCTGCCCACAGCGTGCATGGAAGAGATCCCAAACACTTTATACAGAGCAGCAGATGTGCTGCTGAAGGTTTATTCCCTGGTCAACATCAGGTTCTGACATTCTCTGCCTCTGTGGGTTTTCCTACAGTTTCCACCTGCTGCAAAATTCCTTTCCTTCTTTAACCCAACTGCTTTCCTGCTTCGAAGCCACGACTAAATGATGACTTCCCATCTATTCCATGAATCCCATCTGGGGATTCCTTTTAAGTGCTACAGAAGCGAACACTGCACATCACCCACCTGGGAAGACCCAAGGATTCTTTGGGATAAAATGGGCTGTGCAAAGCACTGTTTGCACACTGTTAAACGTTCACCTGCTTGGGTCTTTCCCATTTTCCTGCCAGTTTTGATGCAGGTAACATGCTGCATCCTCCTCTGAAAGCCAACAATGCACAGCTTAGCAGCTAACTGCTGTTTCCAACCCAAATCCAGTCCCAAGGCTAAACTGGGAAGAGATGCAGCTGCCTGAGGTATCCTCTTGCAGTTAAGGAGCTGAACTATTGCTCTTACCTGAACACTGACACAGGGTGACCACACGACTGAATTTAACCACCCCTCCAGGTTACTCATGGCAAACACCCTGAACACCCCTGTGCAAAGCTGTGGCAACCACGAGCCCAAAGAGACAACTCCAAGTTCTCCTCCCTCACTTCCCGCCATCCCGCAGTTACCTGAGCCCGAGCCGGAGGTGGAGAGATCGTAGACCAGATCTTGCAAGGTCTTATCCTTGGAAAGGCACATTTCACAGGAGGGGTCCTCCATGTCGAGCCGCTGGCGGTTGTGATAGACTCGCTGGTGGTGATGGAACACAAAGACCACGATGATCATGACGACGAACACGAGGAACACGGGCCCGGCGATCACCGCCACCAGCTCCACGGGACCCCAGCTCGACGGGGGCTCGTTGTCCTTCAGGTGCCCTTGGCAGGAAAGGGAGAAAAAGAACAGAGACTTTGAGAAAATGATCACTCTGCTGAGGGTTTTCTTCTTGGGTTTTAATTATTCTCTCAGAGCCTGGACAATTTTAGCTCACTGCTCCGGGGACGCATCAAGTAACAGCGTCAACATGGGGCTGATTGAGGCACCAGGCAGGCAAAATGCAGCTGGAACCCCCAAAAGAAAATGGACCTGGGATCAGGGATCATGGGTATTCACTGTTTGAGAGGATGGGAGCCTGTCCTGGGCTGAATCTTTCAGAACAGTCTGCAGTTCACCTCCCACTTGAACTCAACCAGTCGGTCAGGGCTCATTGCTCCCCTTCTGCCCTTTGCCCTGCAACAACCAATGAACCTGCACCTGAAGGCAACAATTAAATTTTTGTCATTTTGAGCCCAAATAGGACCTCCCCCCTGCTCCTGAGGAAAGTGACACTGCAGTCTCCACAGCACCCACTAGAAACCAGCCCAAAATGGAGAGGAGGAGGCAGGAGGAAGCACCACGTGCCCTCTGTGTCCCAGGAATGAGAAGCAGACATTTCCCACACCCTCACTCAGAGGCAGGGCTGCTTCCCCTTCGTGTATTCTGAGCCCAGGCACCCTCCACCCCCCACACACTTTGCTCTGAAGCTGCTGCAACGTTCCCATACTCGTGCTCAGCACTGAAAAGATCCGGAGTCCTGGAAAGGAAGCAGCTCCAGCTGATAAAGGCAGGTCCAGCTCAGGGCGGGCTGTGCCCGGGGAACAGGCACATTCCCATTTTAATTTGAAGTAGTTTGTTATTTCCACTTTACAGACGAAGGAAATAAACCCGGCGCTCAAGTTCACACATCAACCAAAGGGAACGAGCGAAAACAGGGCCGAGAACTCCGAATTCCCAATCCCAAACAGCTCCTCTCCTCCCCGCTCCAAACACACGACTTATCCCGCCCTCCACTCACCGCTGGGAACCATCAAATCGATTTTGTTGCAGAAATCGGAGTAGCAGCAGTGAGTGTTCCGCAGGTCCTCCGAACTCAGGCAATAGAAGGGCTTCCCAGCAGGAATCAACTTGGCCTCGGGAATGCAGGTCCGGACGTGGTGTTTGACCCCGTCCAGGTTGAAGACCGAGACCATGCAGGCGCCGTCCGTCTCACAGGTGGAGTTGGCTTGTTTGCAGTCGGAGCACAGACATGTCAAAGCTGGAAACACAACGAGAGCAAGCCCTTAGAACCCACCAAGAGCAAAAGCACAAATGAGAGGAAACCTTCCTTAAACTCCCCGTTTCACAGGGGCCTCTGGAAGGTCTCGGCCTCTGGAGGAACCGGCCTGAAGAACAGCACGAGTCACGCTCAGGATTTCACACCTGCAAGAACCCAATTTCAGCACCAAACCCAGCGTGGAGGCAGAGGAGCCTTTCCAGGAGGTGCCTGCCCAGGCAGCCCTTTGCCTGCCCCTGTTGCAACCACCACCAGCTGTGCCCCGAGTCACCCCTAAAACCGGGCGAGATCCGACCCAGCTCCACTCCCAGTCCAACCTCTGGTCAGGCTCAAACCAAACGCAACAATTACTCCAATTGATGGATGTGATTCCACCCAGCCTGGCTGCCCAGGCTCCAGGAGGAGCTGCCTGATCCAGGCTGGTGAGGGACGACCACCCGGGCTCCAGGAGACCAGGAGCAGCTGGCAGATGCCAACCCAAACCCCATCCCAGCCGACTGCACGAGCCAAGCGTGCTACACCCAGCTAGATCAGCCACTTATTTAGCAACTGCTTTCCTGATCTGAGACACTACCTTGGGGTCAAATAAATTCCTGGCTTTTTGCCCGCTCCCCACGAAGATTATTCGGGTAAAAGAGCGAAGGAGAAACTCCGAGGCAGATTCCCACATTTTTCCGCCTCCCAGCTGTCACTGTGCTTTTCTCAAGCTGCCTGAAAAACTGTAAGCAAATCCCCAGGCCCTGCCATCCTTGGGAACAAAGAGGAATCCAACAATGTCAAGAAGAAGGGTGGGGCTTGTTTAGCAGCACGCCGGGTTTTCTCCAGCTTTCATCAGCTCTCCCAGCCTCCCCGGAGGGAACCCGAAACCTGTCCTTACCCGCTGCAGAAATGGGCTTTCGGGTGGGGAGGGTTTCAAGAAGGGTTTGAAAAGATACAAGTGCCACAGTTGACTCTCCCCAGGCTGATCTGAACCTTCTCGGGGTAAAGGCACACGACAGCCTCAACACTCTGTCGTGTTCGGGGCCACGTTACCTCGAGCTTAACAAAAACCAAGCTGGTCCTGATTTACTCGGGGTTCCTTCAGGAGGAAGACACCCATTAGCTCTCATCCCAGAGTCCTGGGTAAATCAATCAGCCTAATTGCATTACTGTTCACTTAATTCTCCCTGGACGCTGCTCCTCGTTTTCCAGCTGTTGTTGTGAACTGTTCCAGACGAGCTAAATGTGGCTGCTGGTGAGTTTGGAACCAACGGATTCAAAATTGCAGTGAAAAAGCCTGTGACCAGTGACAGGACCTGAGGGAACCTCTGGAGCTGTGGCAGGAGAGGTTTAGGTTGGATCTCAGGAAAAGGTTCTTCCCCCCGAGGGTGGTTGGCACTGAACAGGCTGCCCAGGGCAGTGGGCACAGCCCCAAGGCTGCCAGAGCTCCAGCAGGGTTTGGATGATCCTCTGGAGCACAGGGTGGGATTCTGGGGTGTCCTGGGCAGGGCTGAGGGTTGGACTGGGTGGTTCTTGTGGGTCCCTTCCAGCTCCAGAGATTCCATGAGTCTACAACTCTATGATTAAAACCCAGAGTGAGAAACCTTTAAAAAGCCTCGTGAGCAAACCTCACTTACTACCATGTGCTCAGCACAGGCCAGGGAAAAGGGACATGGGACAGAAAATGGACAGGGAAAACCTTCAGACTGATCCATGTTGAGAAGGGTGGAGAGCATCCATGGATTCAGCAGATTCTATGAGCAAACTCAATAACAAAAGGAAAAGACCCCTCCACTGATGTTCACCTCAAAGAGCTCCGAGATCAGAGTTTTTCTGTGGTCAGCAGAGCACAGACAAGACAATTCTGAAAAATACAAACACTTGGGGGAACAAAGGTTGGTGATAAAGGAGATTTTATGAACACCCCAGATGGCAAAGAGCAGCCAGGGCACATTCCTGCCTTCATGTCTTACTTAAAAGGAAATGGTGTTTTAAAGCATCTCCCTTATTACTTATCAAAAACTCGAGGTACAAATTAAAAACATTTAACCCACACACATCTCACCATGTAGGTTCTTTTCAGTTTGATTTAGATACAACAAAACTGAACTTTGTTCCTGTTAAGACTCATTTCTGAGGTCTCAATCCCAAGATTCAGACTGTGGCAGTTTTGCTTCCAGAAGCTCCCAAGTAAACAAAGCACTTCAATGCACCAATAAAACTGATTTTGTAAACGTCTGAGTGAAGTATCTGGCCTGAAACCGAGCATGCCTTTGAGAGGGAAAGCAGAGGAGCTGGTTGTGTCTGCTCAGTCGCATTTGTAGGATTAAAAAATAATAAAAAAATCAGTTTACCTGCAAGGTACGATACCAGAGCCCCGGCGCAGAGACAGACTGAGATCCTTATCTGTTCCGTGCAGAAAGCCAAAATTTCCTGCTAAGGAGGGGGATGCCCCACGGCCTCCTCTCACCCCATTCCCCCTCTGAGACAACTGCTCTTTTTTAACTTCAGTTCTACTGTTTGCACCTCAAAAATCCCCAGGGTGGGAGAGCAGCGGGAACAAAGAGCACGGAGCCTTCAGCACCACACACGTCTGTGCTCCTTTACAATTCTCATCAGCGACCCTCAAGGGGCTTTCCAGATATTCCTGGCCAGAACCTCCAGGCTGCAGGCAGGAACTCTCCAATTTTCTGTGTGTGCCAGGGAGGAAAGGTCTGTCTGCACCGGGAAGCTCCCGGCAAAGAGCAGAATTACAGGGCAACCCGTGCAGGCCCAGCAGCTCCGGCTCCATCAAACCAGGAGGAAAAATTCTTCTCCCATCAGTAACACCAGAAGCCAGGCAAAAGGAAGGGTTGTTTGCCCCTGGGTGGGGGTCAGGAGATGGCCAGGGAAGCAGAGCCCCCCACCAGGTATCTCTTGGGTGCTCTGGGAGCAGCCGGGGCGAAGCAGGAGGAGACAAGAAGCGGATAAAAGGATTTTTCATGCCAACAGCATTCTTTTTTCTTGGGGAAGAAAAGCTCCTATTGAGCAAAACATATAATCTACTTAATAAAAGAAACTGCCTGGGCTGAAGGAAATAGATGGGGTGAAGGAAAACAAAGAGCAGTTCCCAGAGCTGGGGAGGCACATTCCCCCCTCCGGAGCGCCCGGGGACGAGTCTGCGTGGAACTGGAGCGAGTGGAGCTGGAGCAGAGCCCGCTCCATGAGCTCCCCACACGGACACCCCACTCCCAGCCCAGCCCAGCCCTGCACAGACACTGTTTGAACAAGCCCAGCGTTGAGCTGCAGGTCCTGGGGACGAGGCTTTGTTCTCCTGGAGAGCTGGAGCAGGTGGGTGTTTACACGGAGCAAAACGGGGCCTCTCTGCTCCCCAAAAACCAGAGAGGGCAGTCGGCGCTGCCAAAGGACAAACTCTCCTTCATCCTGGACTACCCCAGCCCAGGGCTCGACTCCTCCAAACCCAAGAACTGCTTCTGCTCCCTGTGATGTTCCCAGATTCCAGCCCCAACAGGATCCTGGGGAATGGAGGAGTCCGTGTCCTCTGCATCAACCCCAGCAGCGAGGAAAACACGAGCAGGGCCCTCTCCCACCAAATCCCCCCACTCAAAGCAACCTGAATTCCCACGAGGGATCCAAACAAACAGGTGGGGAGGGGGGCTGTGGATTCCAGCTCCAGGGAGACTCAAACACCCAGCTCTGACAGGCAAAGAACATTTCTCCTCCTTTCCCAGCAACTCTCCGAGCTCGTTTTGCACATATTCGTCCTCACACGGGGTTTCTCATGTGTCAAGATGTCTCTGCAGCGAGACAGGGGAAAGTTTCACAGCAAAACCTCCTGCAGTGGTGGCAACCACCTCCTGGAATGCGTTTTCCAGCTCCTTCCCAAAGCACACGGAGCAAGATGCCATTTTCTCGGGGCTGAGAACTCTACCTGATCAAGATGTATGAAGATAATTAACCTGAAGACGAGTATTGGTAAAATTGCCAATAACCACCCACGTATTTACCAGATAAACAGATTTTTTTGCTGCTGTTCTTTTTCAACAGTTCGAGTCTGGGCTGGAAGAACGACTCCCCTGACTTTGAGCCTTTCCAAGGCTCTGCAACAGGAGCTGCAATTTATTGTGTCTCTGTGCAGCACCAAACTTAATGAGCCCCACTCTGGGAGTGCTGGTTTCGTGCTGCAGCAGCACAATGTTAGCAAGAGAAATGGGAAACAATTGGCTTTGTAGCTCTGCTGCTTCTTCAGATGCTCTAATGAAGAGGGACGTGTGTAAACACGCTTGGAAAACAGAAATATCTGTCAGTGTTTGGCTCTGTGCTGTGCTGAAATAAAGAATAACCTTTATCACAGAGGGTTAGGAATTAAATCTGTTCCCTCGTGCTGAGGGAGCAGAGGTGTGTCCAGCTGTCCCTTTGTGCTCCATGTTCAGCTGTACCACCCCAGGAACAGCCTTCCAAGAAAACAACCAGCTCCCTTTCCAAAAATCTGGGCTGAGGGCAGACTGAGCCATCTGATGAAGGCTTTAAAGACAAAGATTCACTTGCCATTATCACGGAATCCTGGAATGGTCTGGGTTGGAAGGGGCCTTAAGGATCATCCAGCCATGGGCAGGGACACCCTCCACCAGACCAGGCTGCTCCAGCCTGGCCTTGGACACTTCCAGGGATCCAGGGGCAGCCACAGCTTCTCTGGGAAACTGTGCCAGGGCCTTCCCACCCTCCCAGGGAGGAATTTCTTCCCAATATCCCATCTAACCCTGTCCCCTGTCAGTTTGAACCCATTCCCCCTCATCCTGGCACTCCAGGCCCTCAGAAATAGTCTCTCTCCCCCTTTCCTGCAGGTTCCTTTCAGGTCCTGGAAGGCCACAATGAGGTGACCCCAAAGCCTTCCCTTCTCCAGGCCGAACAATCCCAATTCTCTCCTCATGGCAGAGCTGCTCCATCCCTCTGATCATCTTGGTGGCCCTTCATACTCACATTCACCTCGATTCTTCTGCAGCCTGGCATCCACAGCTGGGGTCCCTACATCCCTTGCTGGGACACATCCGAGTCCAAAGTGACCCCTCCAGTGTCTCCCCCAAGTCCCAGACCCAGCTCCACCTTCACCCATCGCCTCCAAAAATGACT